GACAGCTTTTACTTCCTCCATGATCAAACCCAATCTTGTCAGAACTCAGAATGTGGTACTCAAGATAGAAAGGTCAAGTAGGCAGATTCTTTACATTTCAATCATACACTGGTACATTTTTGCCTCTCCATTCTCTACTACCGGTATGTAGAATGGAGTAAACGATACCAGTGATAATCTTGAGACTGTATTGATTATTAAAAGCATAGTTGTTATTGCTGATAATAATAATTGTGGCTTCTTATAGTGCACATGTCCAAAGATTAACCAAAACAAAACAACAAATCACTTTCTCTTTCTTGCTCCAGGTATGATTTTCACATGTAGCAGTTATCAAGTTCATGTGGTAAATTCTTTGAAGTACTGTAGATATAGTTTTAATATAAACATGCCTCATTTTACTCAAGTGTGCATGCTGAGGCCACTCTGACGCAAGCAATATGCTCGTGACCAGGCTTGGTATGTGCTATGTTTACATGGAAATTATTGATCAAGTTCAAGCCAAGCTAGCATACCCTATCTCTCTTGTGTTGGGATTCTGGCCAACAAGACGTCACCAGCAAGTGTTTACATCGCCCAGAGGTGACTTTTCAGGGTTTTAGGATAGTCTTCTGAAGGACAGTACTTGTGATTAAGTTGATGGATATCCTGTGGAATCGCTTTTGTTCAGAGTGTGACCTTCCTGAGGAAAGACTAGAATAAGACTACCAAGAAGGTATATTTAATTTTTGTATTAATGTAATGATAACCTTTGAAAATACATGAATTTGGCATGATTATGTTCTATACTACATGTAAGAACAGGCCAGGAAGTGTATGGAGTATAGACTACACATGGTTTGCTGAAAGGAAGTGATGCATATTCATGAGGAGACACACCTTCAACTTACCCCCATCCAGTAGCCAATCATAGCTGAGATTGGGTATGAGCTGACTGTGTGTATTTGTGTGTGTGTGCTTCACTGTTCATACTCTAGTACTCTACAGTGCACAACACGTACAGTGTGCAAGCCAGTGAAGTGTGTGAATACAGATCATGCATATTCATTACTGCAGGCAGCTGTTTTTCAGTGTGATGCAATATCCTAGAGAAGTTGCTGCATGCAACATACTACCGTCTCATGCACCGGTACTTGCATGTACTGCATGTAGGTGTACTGTACAGGCGTGATATCTGTTGTTGAGGAAGATTTGTTATTGGTGTCCATTTGCGATTGCATAAGCCATACTATTATCCAAGGCTTCTACTATTAGGCCCATGGAACCAAAACACAACAGCCAAATGCTTGGTGAATCAAACTGTTATTGTGCCCCTGTGGATGGTTGCGATTTGAACCTCTCCAATACGTCCAAAGTCAGCGACGCTACGATGGGGAAACATGCCAGTCTTGACTGTGTAAGGCGTGAACTGCTCTCCGTTCGGGAGATGGAGGAGAAAGTTTGGGAGGAGGAAGCGACGGAAGACGTGGTGCCAGAAACCAAAATGACAGGAAAACGCTGTAGATCATCGGCAACCACACAGGTCAGTGAGACACAGAGATTGGGGGTCCTTTCTCAACGAAAAATCTTGGCACTGAGCCCACGATTGCAAACTTTTGATGTTCAGTGTGTACTGTACTAGTAAATTTAGGATGCTTTTGTCAGCCAAAGTGTCATTGAGATTGTGCTTAAGAGAATTTGTGATATCAAATTACATGAAGACATGTACATGTAGTATCCTACTTATTGTGTATGTGCACATGTACATTATGTGCAGGCCTTAAATTTCAGTATTTTTAGGGCAAGGCCACTTTTCTGTAGGGTACATTCCTATATTACAGCACAAATAGGAAGAATTGGAAAGGGCACAACCAATCTCCAAGGCCAATGATGGGGGCATTGAGGCCAATCAAAGGGGCATCCATGGCCATGGCCTAGGTGGCCTTGGATTAATTTAAGCCCTGTATGTGTGTATTTTGACATGTTGGAAAATACAAATACTGGTACACTTTTTCATGTACATGTACATGTACAATGTATAGTAATAGACGTTTATCTTTTACTCAAATTTTTTGATAAAATCACTAAATTCTCCAGTGTAAAATTTGCATATTGGTTGAACTACTTAGGAGTACTCACACTGCACTCCTGACCAGCAATACTTGACCATGATATCTGTATCTGCGGTCTTGTCATGTGCTAGCGGTCATTGTCCATAATTGGCATGGTTTGACCTTGGTCCTTGGCTGTGGTCACTTGTAAGCAAGTCATCTTCCTCTGGCATTGTTCTCTTATCTCTCGCAGAAAGGGCAAATTTGAGCATGTACTGTACATTTAATTAGGAAATGCCTCTTTAATCTATGTCCTGTATTCATGCACATTTACATGTACAATGTACATGGGAAATATGTTATTGCCATGTACAGTACACTATGAATAACTATATTAGAAAAGAGAACAAAAAAAATTATATATTTTTTTCAAAATTCACTCATAGTCATGATCACATGTACTCCAAAACCACAGTCCTACCTGTACATGTACATGTATGTGGTTCCAAGAAAGTAAGTTTCAAACTATTTTCCAAGGAGGAAGAAGTTAGAACAGGATATGATATGCTCTAATTATAAAAAAGAAAACAAATTGGTAATAATACACTTTATTCACTAACCAATATAACCACACTCTGTTTCTCAGAATACCTTGTTTGATGAAATAGTATTACAAAAATGTACACGTACACCTGTACACTGAACATTGTAAACCAGGGCTCCACATTAACTTTTTTCATATACTGTTTGGTGTCCGGATTAAGATTCTTGATACTGGTATGCATGAGCCTCTAAAATGTAAACATTGTGTGGGTCCTAAATTCGATTTTGGGCACCCATTTGTCCCAGGCGCCTATTAGGGTCAAGCCCTGTGCACACAAAGAACCAGAAACCCTTTTTCATATTACATGAATGTGTTCTCAAAATGAATATATTTCAATTATTAATTATTAATTATTATTCAAGTTGGTGGCAAGAATCGACTTGTGTAAGCCAAGTGTTGTGTTTATTATTATTTGTAAGATATATGGAGGTGAGCCACCTCTAGGATCTACTCGGATTATTTCCTTTTGTCAACATTTCACAACGACTGTCAAAACTTTGTGGTATTGGCCTTCGCTATCTCCATGGACAAGTTTGGCAGATTTATCATAACAAAATGACAAATCACTTTCTTACTCCATGTACATGTACACAGTGTTAGTGGCGGATTAAGGATTTTTTGGAGTGGGGGGGGGGGGGGGGGGCACAAGTCCACATATTCTCTGACATACTGGTACTCCCTCTATTACACACAGATCTCTGAAACGAAATGAGCTTTATTGCAAAAGAAGACTGTTGAAAGAAAATAATGACAATCTTGAGGAAATCCTTTTATTTATACTGATATAAACTGTACATGTACATGTAGGCATACACGTACATGTACATGTAGGTAATGGGATTGTGTAAGCCTACATGTACATTGTAATCCTCCACATGCGATGTGGTTTGTAATTGTATGCTGTATTTTGTATGAACTAGATTGCTGGAAAGATAACTCTAGTAATTAGTGAACAATGATACAAATACCTTCCAGTATCAGATCATGTATTATATGCAATTGACAAAATTATACATTTACACAACATGCATTATAATACATGTACCAGGGTATATAGTAAGAAAAATATTTTAATGTTAGTATGCCTTCATACAAATGTAGCAAATTACCTTTTACATTGATTGTAGACTTGTTTCTTTGTGTGGTTCTGTCACCATTCACTGTCACCATTCACTACATGTGTACAGTGAATGGTAACAGCGAATGGTGTCAGAAGTGAGCTAGTTTGTGTCTGGTTTCTAGACTATCAAGCAGCTGTATGACATTCATTAATTCATTCATTCATTCCGTCAGCCATTCCGAATAGAGACCCTATCACGTAATCACTTCAGTCATTAGATTGTGTGCATAATGCCACCTTGGCATCCTTCGCATCCTTTGATGTTGAAGTTGAAGTTGATGGATTCTTGCATTCATGGAGGTCCTTCTTGCTTTAAATACATGTACATGAACATACATTTCTACATGTGCAGAACATATTTTTGTGTACAAGTAGTTCACTATTTTTATTTATAATTGTCACATTTTGGGGCAATATTCTTACTTTTAGCAGTTTAGAATACAGTACAATGTACATGTAGATATCTTTTTCTCTACTTTCTGTAATTCACTTTTCCCAATAACAATTTATAATTGTGTGTGACTATTAAAGGTAAACATGATTGTTTTATAATTGGCCTCCTCGTTAAATACCTACATGTAACAAGTACAGTACAACCCTTTGCCGTGCATTCTGTAATAGGAGCTTATCTTTCTATTTATAGGGGTTATTTTTAAACTTGGGCTTGTAAAAGGACCCCACTATACAGGTACATGTACATGTAGACTACATGTTCATACTGTAGATGGCCTATCAGCAGGCCTACTTGGGTTGATTCATAGAAATTGAAATTTAAAAATGTATAATTACATGTACACTGTATGTTTAGATTGTTGGAAGCAGAGTAAAATTGTGTATTTTACATTGACTTTAAAAAATAATGACCCGAGTGACATTGCCTGTACTGCATTACATTGATGTGTCGAACAATGAGATGCAAAAATACTAGTTTTGCTTAGTTGCACCTTTACTCATGTGTGCATTCTCTTTCAAAACATGTCATTTTTATGGATTTGGATTGAATAGTCAATCGTATGTAGAGTATTTACCCTCTGTGTGAAGTTGTTGATGATTGGGGTATTTCTTTCACTTGCAACTTTGCAAAGTTTCTTTTTCAATTTGTCACTTGGATTTTGCATTCATTATATCCCAACAAAAGACATGTACAAGTATGCCTACATGTATATGTACATTATATGAAAGAACGACTTTCTGTCATAACATTTCAATCTAAATTATAACAAAACCTTCACCTTTTCTCTTCCAGGAGCAAGGAGGGAAAATTCCACGACAGTGTGGCACCGGACCTAGCTCGTTCATTCCAAACTCAGAGGTAAGATATTTGCTCTGCTTGCTAAATTTTTTGTTTTTGCCATGTTCAGTGTTATTATGGCTTCAGATTTGTATTATCAAGATTTAGAGAAGGGTTAAAATCACCATCCTATGTTTGCACCTGGACTTGAACCTGGGTCATCTTGTATGCAGACCAGAGAGCCAGCCACTAGACCAACTCATGTCCAGTGAGTGCTAACTTCCAGTATCAGAAGGAGTTTAATAAATTGAAAGAAAATTACCACGTCTATAGATATCAACCTTTCCTAGTTTTCTCCACACTCTGTATGTGGGGGGGGGGGGGGGGGGAATATAGTTTTCGGACTAAATAATCTAGCTCTCATTTGCTTTAGGAGCAAGAGAAAAGGATGTAAACTTAATACTCTGCTCGGAAAGTAGAGATCTGTCATAGATCCCTGCTTGAGATCAGCAAACTTTAAAATATCACAATTGTCTCTGGGAACTCATTTCAAAGTCTCTCACTTTGAAATTTTCAATGAAAATTTTTGCACTCAATAAGAAAAAGTTTTGGGATTATTTCAATAAATCTTGTCAGCAAAAACATAGTTGAAGTTTATTGTATTTTGAGGTTTTTTAAAGCATTCAAGGGCTGTATGAAATTGCATACATGTACTGTATGAAAGGATAAGGGAACAGGATGGGTATAAAGTACTCAAATACATAATGCATTACAGTACATTCATATACAAGAAAACAAATTTCCTGTGGAAAAAAACTAAACAGGATATATCAAGAGCCCTAAAGAAATTTCAAATGCGGTAGCAACATCTGATGTGCACTGCATCCTTTAATTTTTCTCAGAAATGTTCTTGATGTGTCATTGCCACATTGTTGTGAATGAAATTACGATACATTTCAGAAATATTGGTGCGTCCTACTTGTTATGGTATTTTTCATGCCATATAATCAGATTTGATATGACGTCATACTGTGCACAGTGGGCAGCAATTACAGGGAGACAATATCAATCTGTACAAATATCCATTGATGCCTATTTGATGGTGTGACAGAATCCTACCTATACCCCATCAGTCACATCAAAGCACTCTCACAGCCCCTATACAAATTTAAGTTCGTGGTAAGCTTAATAAGATCGTTTTTTAGGCTTTAAGCTCGTAACACGCTTCCAGGACGCTAGTAACGATCTTACAAAATCTTGGCGAGCTCGTGGCGAACTCGCGGGTAAACTGGGGAGCTCGTGCAGGGCCCTGGGAACTTTTTTTTCACCGGGGGTGCTCTGGCGTCTTCATCGGGGAGGGGGTTTATTTCTGATTCCATAACCGTTACGGTGGTGGTTTACACATAATGCTGAAATGACATAATTTTCTTAGATTTTCCTCATTTTTTTAGTAAATTATACATTTTTATGCGTTTGTTGTAAAATGACCAATTCCTAAATTTACAGCCAGGCAAGAAATATGCTTCTTGAGGTGCCTACATGTCAGGGCCCGCGAAACAGCGGGGATCGGGAGCTTCCAACCCCCCCCCCCTCACACTTTTTTGACAAAGTATATTAAAGAGAAATAGAAAGAAAAAGAGCAAGAAAGAAAGAATAGTTAACTGCCAGTGTCACAACAATATAAGGTATCATGATGATACTCATCTGACCGTAATTTAGTGCCTAAAACCCTTAGGCTTCTGGGGGCTCCGCCCGCTGGACCTACGCCAATCAGTGTCCTGCCAGTTGCACAAATAAGGTATAAAAATATGTTCATCTGACCGTAATTAAACGCCTAAAAATCCCGAGCTTCCGGGGGCTCTGCCCCCTGGACTCAACCAACGGCCCTAAGGCGGGCCCCCTGATACTCATTTGACCGTAATTTAGTGCCTAAAACCCTTGAGCTTCTGGGGGCTCCGCCCGCTGAACCCCACGCCAATTAGTGTCTTGCCAGTGGCACAAATAAGGTATAAAAATATGTTCATCTGACCGTAATCAATGCCTAAAACCCCTGAGCTTCCGGGGGGATCTGCCCCCTGAACCCCGTCGAGAACGGTACCACAAATCGGTTTCTTTCTCTAATGATTTAATGAAACGTAAAAGCTTGGGCGCTTCGCGCGGGAGGGGGAGGGGTAAACTGAATTCAGGATTATTTTCGAGAACGGTACAACGAATCGTCTTCTTTGTCTAATAATTTAATGAAACGTCAAAGCTTCGGTGCTTTGTGGAGGAGGGAGGGGGAAATCGCCCCTCCCTGCACCCCCCCACTACGTCAATGCAGGTCACCATTACATACCGATATTTGGGTCGCATAATTTCAAATTTGGGCCCACCTAAGAAATCCTGGATCCGCGCCTGGTGTAGAGCCTCTCAAGCGTTGGGAGCCCCAAAGTTTGATGGTAAAACTTGACTCAAATTGTATCATAATGTGAAAGAGGATCTAATTTAAGACATATTGCTGCGAGGGTTTTCAAAACAAATGCGTTTAAAGTCAAATATTGATGAAAGAATAAAACAAAAATCTGCGTACAACAGAAAACCCAAATTATTGTTCTGCTTCTAATGAAGCTAACTTAATATCAGGGTGGACTTCCCCTCCCTGTATTCAATAATGAGCAGAAAAGTGTAATCTATTCCTTTTTCCATTAGACCATTTTTCTTCAACATGTCTCAGCAACAATTTTTTATATTCTCTCGGCAAAATAAACCAACATTTCAAATATATTCCGGTACAGGGCGTCTGTTTTTTTTGTTAACAAAACTTTAAAAAATTATGCAAAACATTGTTTGAATATAAAGCTAAAATCTGACCGAACGTTGCCTGCCCCCAGATATCGATTTGCACAATCATGGATTGTAATTAATTCCAATCATGTTTTCACTCCGATGGATTGATACTCCTTAGCATATAAAACAAGCTACAATAAACACACCGTTGGGAATAGTAGAATTGTAAGCAGGTAACCTTAGGTTCTTGATTAGTGCACGACAATCAAACCTTTCTGATTATCATAATAATTAAAACACCATATGGAATAGAATCGTAAACAGGTAACCTTAGGTTCTTGATTATAAAATTGTGCATGACAATCAAACCTTTCTGATTATCATAATAATTAAAACACCATATGGAATAGAATCGTAAACAGGTAACCTTAGTTTCTTGATTATGTGCATAACGATACAAACTTTATGATTAAAATATTACTACAAACACCTATTTTACAATCTTTTTAGGTGCTCTTCAAAAAAAAAAGATTAGAGATAAATGAGGTAAAAGTAATTATAGTTGTACAGGTTAATGCACAGAGAAATTTCAAGTCCATTGAATTGAAAAGTCTTATGGAAAGCATATTATCTAGGAACTCTTAAATGCAAAGACTCTCCGGAGACATACATTTTGCACAATAGAAATAGAAAACCGGAAGAAAAAAACAGTAAAAAAGGGGAAATAAGGAGTGTATAGAACTTTGTGATGCCCCGTGCAAGGATTGCATATTGGGAGTGACTGATCTTCTTGGAATTGATCTTCTCAGAAGTTAATAATTGATTGATAGACATCAGTCATATTGTGGAACACTATAACAGGGCTCCATGAAGATTGAATCTGTGCCCACCTATGCAAATCATTTATCTTGAGAAAAGGTTAAGAATTTCTCAAGGGGCAGAATGCGTGTAGAAATGAAAAGAGGAAAAAAGAAGCTAAGCCCAGATCTTTTGGTAACTTTACCTTCATCAAACGGACCGGTGTAAAGTTCAATTTCTCATTCCTGACTTTTCTTTAGAGATTATCCTTTTCATCTCTCACCTGTACAGATCAACGTCAGTATTGGTTAAAACAAAACAAGACATACAAACTAAAGTGAAGTGCGCTGGTCTATTAGGTTAGGGCTTACCATCCCTTTAAAGTTCAATTTCTCATTCCTGACTTTTCTTTAGAAAAGTCATCTCTCACCTGTACAGATCAACGTCAGTATTGGTTAAAACAAAACAAGACATACAAACTAAAGTGAAGTGTGCTGGTCTATTAGGTTAGGGCTTACCATCCCTTTAAATGTTAAAACAAAACAAGATGTACAAACAAAAATGAAGTGCGCTGGTCTCTTAAAATGTATGTTAGGGTTTACCCTCCCTTTAAATCTACAATTAAAGAAAGGGCAATGGAACATTTTGGAAGTGCCGGTACATGTAGAGAGGACGTGAGAATATGATGAAACGAGTGATGTAATACGAGTGTCACTCTCAAGTATAAGGTGACCCAATGAGGAAGTTAGAATTACTTCAATGTTTCCTATTGCTATGTCACTGTCATGTAGCATGGTCGTATATGTGATAACAAGGTCGCTGTCAGGAAAATATTCCTTCCTTTCACCATGGACAAGTAGGTCCATGCTTTCACCCCAGACTACTTGCAAGCATTGTCTTGAATCTGTCAAATTTGTGAAATTAATCGTTGTATTTGCTTTTCTTTTCTTTTTTCCTGTATTTCTATTCCATTACTTTTGGGATTAATGCAAATAATTATTCTTGAAACATTATTTGAAAGAAAAAAAACAAAGAGTATCACTCTGGAGCTTGCAGATTATTTTGTAGTTTGTACATTAACACATAAGAGATCATTGATTAGCTCTTGAGCAATTATAGATCATGGTTTGATACCCTTTCAGTATGATAGCCCCCGTTAATCAACACAATGATCTTCAAGCGCACAAACTGAAAACATGTTTCCTCATAATAGCAAAGCATCCTTAACTGAGTTTTCAGAAAACATGTTTCCTAAGATCAAATGAATTCTATATCAGGCATCTGAAAGATCCTCATCCTTAAACAAGCTGTTGCACTTCCAAGATATTTGCGGAGATTCCTTGCTTTGATGCGGCATGCTTCTGCCTGGTTGGGGGCGTTATTTGCACGCTCTAATCAGTTCAGGATATTGTTGGAAATTGAACGGATCTAGCAGGCACTTAACCAATCCCGCTCGGTACGAGTCGGTAGGCCCCCCAATGGAAGAGGAGCGTCCCGCTACCTGGAAAAGTTGTGTA